GGATCAAGAAAAACCGCAAGTAAAGAGCACTAAAGAAAATGACGATAAAGTAAAAACCAACAAATTTGTCTCCAACATCAGCTCAGGAAATAATTGTAACGACAAGGAAAAGACAAAAATTGACGTGGGATTAAAATCGATGGCTGGAAAAACTGAAAAAGTGTCGGTTGAAGAAAATAAACGTGAAAAATCGTTAGAATTAACGTCTCTTGCACAGAAACAGCTTGCCAGTAAAGAATCGCATCAGGTGGAAAGTAAAATAGAAACTTGCGCGCCGAAAGAAAGTAAAAGCGCATCGCATTCAAAAAGAAGAAATTCAGATTTCTCGTCGTTATCTCATTCTTCCGAAAAATACAATACGCTCGGATTACGAGACATCCACGATCTTCCGGAAAGCTGCTATAACGACATGCTTCAGTTTCTTCATTCCAGAAGTCCCAGTCGTAACAGATACGCCACGTCTTTCATTTCTAGACAAAAGCAAACTAAACACTCGCTAAATACGGATCATCAAAATAGAATTCGTAATTGGCTTAAATCCGAACAAGTAAACGGACATTCGACCGATAAGGATTCTTCCGATAACGACGAAGATTTTGATATTCATTTCGATTATAATTATCCTTCGTCCACCAATTCTAACGTGTCGTCTCGAGCTCGTAAAATAGAGGATAATTCCGCTAATCCGGTCAACAAGTATCCGAAAACGATGCGATCCATTAGCCAAATTGACTATAATTCGGTAGACGTAGCTCCGAAAGAATACAATTCTACCAATTCGTTATCCAACGAAGAAATAGATACCTCGATGGAAACTTGTAACAGACAGAAGAAATTCACTAGAAGAAACAGTTACACTACAATTTATAAAGATTCGCTTCATTTAAACACGTCTTCGTTGTATTTACAAAATTCGGCCTTTAAACCACCTTCTTTGTACGGAATTCAAGACAACGACCAGTTGAACAGAATGACCAACGCGGCGGAACTTTACGGAACTTGGCAACGAAGACCGTCCTGTCATTCGAGTCATAAAATGCTTCAGCAGCAGAGGGACAGACTTTATGCCAGTTCTCTCATCAACGAACCTCGTAATACGTCCAATTTTATGCCTCCTACCTTGACCAGAGACATTTACGGCACGATCAGGAGATCCAAACACGATTACGGAAGATCGCTGTCGGTGGATATTCCTCAAAATCCAATTATTTACGAACCCAAAATACAAAACTATTCGCAGCAAGAAAACGATTCTTTTAACATTCACGAATGTAGAAATATCAATTTGGAAAATAAATATTCCGCCTACTTAAATAATTACGATAAAAATAAGATATCGTCGATTAAATCGGATGGGAAAGTTTCACGGGAAAACCAAGCGTTGGAAAATTCCAGTATTAAATTTCAAAATAACGAACGACCGTCGGGTAATCCGAGCGACGATAATAATAATAATAATAGTAACAACGAGGAGGATAAATTAAAGACTGAACAGGATTTGGATAATTTAAAGAAAGAGGCGTCACACACTTACCAGCCTCGAGTAGCCAGTTCGTTTCAATCTCAGGCTAACGATAATAAACCGCCGACACTTTCTTTGTTGGACGCTCTCAAACTAAAGGGCTATCGAAATTTAATCGCTCAGCAGAATACGTATAACGTAAAACCGAATTTTATTGCCGAAGAAAGCGGTCTGCTAGAAAATTATAACTACGGATATAAAACGACCAATCAGTTAGAACATTTAATGGAAGACGAAAAGGTAAGAGAGGAAGCTCCGCCCGTTAGTCATCCCGATTTGCAGCCGCTGGCGGAAGCGGATAACAATGCCAAAGAAAAATTAATGCCCGTGTGCGAAACGAACGAACTTTCTATTTGCAAAATCGATTCGGATCAAGAGGAAAGCGTCAGCGAACGAATCTGGAGGAAGAGCTTCTATTCCAGGTTTAACGACAGTCGTATGAAAAAAAGAAAAGCGTACAGAGAAGGCGACCCGAAAGCGCAATCTCTCTCCGCAAGTAATTGGAACGTATTAATTGAAGAAAACCTGAGAGACGACTTGGCGCGTCCCAGAAGGAGTTCGCTAACCGTAGGGAACAATCACTGGTCTAGTCTTCCTCGTCCCACCACAAAACCTCTGGTGAAACATCATTCTTACGAGGGTCCGGATCCCGTCTTACAGTTGGGCGATCTCCTGGGAAATTCTACCAAGCACAGGTGCCAGAAAATGTCTAAGAGATCTTCCTCGTTGGGTATGGTCGAGGACGTTTCGGACGCCAATACGTGCTCCGTCGTCCCTTACCCCAACGCCACGCAACAGCCCCATCACAGTATTCTACTGGACTACAACCTACCGTATTCTGCGCCGGTCGCTTCCAATATTAATAAATTATACGGAACGATAAGAGCCCTTCCCACTTATAAAGAAGACTATTTATCGGAAGAGAACTTTAAAACAAGAATTAGTTCGCAGGGTAAATTATCGCGTAGGCGTTTCTCCGCCCTGGACGGTTACTTATTCGCTTCGAAATCTCCATCGTTATCGGATTCTATCGCCTCTCTCAACGACAGCGACAAGCCAGAAAACGAAGAAATCAGCTGAAATTTGCTCCCGTCTGGCCAAAGAACATAAACTCTTTAAAAATTTGTACTTTTAAACATTATATTTGTAAATATACACGCTAATGCACTGTACACGTGACAAACGAAACAGAAAATTTCATTAACTGTACCGTTCGTATACATAATGCAATAGACTTATTGTGTTTTCATTTATAAATTTTAAAATCGAATGTCGTTAAACGTGCGGTTTCCAAAAATTTCATTCTTAACTCATTTATAATACCAAAGATTGTTAAATTATTAGCTTAATATATTTGTTGTTTATAAATTTATATACAGAGTCCAGAACTTAAGTACAATGTTTAAATACAAAAACGAGAAGACACTAAATATTGTACTTTAAGTTGGTGACAACTTTTTGAAATTTTATTAAAACGTTTAATAAAATTCACAGTTCTCGACAATGGAACTGCAAACTGCTGTCCAAGACCTTAGACATTTAAATGCTACGCTTTGCGTGGCCAAGAAAAAAATGTGGGAAGAGAGTTATCGAAATACAGTACAGTATTTATACACTTTGTCAAAGCATCTTGGGATAAATTTGCAGTTCCAATGTCGAGTCGTGTAAATATCTCGTAAGAACATATCAATATTTATTAACGCCACGTAAACGAATATTCTAAAACGGAAATCAATTTTAAGGACCAAAGTAATGTTTAAATGATGTACAAATATATATATACTTATTATATAAATGATAGTGCCTAAATATATATATTTTTATGATGCAAAAAAATTCATTTTAGAAATTCAGGAAACTGCAATTTTAATCTTCCACTTTTATAAATAGAGTCCCAATCCTTTTAAATATATAAATGCACTTTCGCTATTTTTAAAGTGCAGTAATCTCTCCTCTTTTTTTACTGTAAAAATACAAATTTGCTTTCGATTAGATCTTAATACTTTTTCCCATTGTCTCGCATGAATCATTTGAATGTATCTTGGGTAAAGAAAAATAATTTATCTGAATGACAGTCGTGTATTCGAATGTACATAATTAAGCGTGCAATAATTTAATTATATTTAAATTTTTCTTTGTCGTCCTTCTTATATTCTAGTCATTTAATTATCATTAATCTTTTAGATAACGATTGTGTTTAATTGCGATTTTAGTTTTATGTTCTTTTTGTAAAAGAAATTTTATTGTTCTAATCAAAAAGAAGAAAAAATCTGTTTTATTGTTGATGTTAATGTTGCAGTTTTGTGTAAGGAAAAATTAATATAAAGAAAAATAAATACATTTGTTAATATACAAATTTGTTTGAATTTTATTTTCAGTCACAGAAAAAGAAATACAGTAATCACTTAGTTATAATTTAAATAAGGTAAGTGTCGATTTTCAATTACAGTTAACAATGATTTTAAATGAGAATTAAATTCTCCTAAAATTGAACTTTTAACAGTAAAGTGATAAAAATACATTTGAAAATCTATCATTAATTAGATAAAAAATTAAATATGATCATAAATAAAGTTCTGAAACGACAATATTAATTCCTTTAAATTTTTGACAATAAATAGCATTAAAAAGAATTCAAATTTTCAAAACTAGCGATTGAGAGTCCAGAGCTTATTTTTAACAGAGGAAAAACAATTTGATTGCGATACTGTAATAATGACGCTTGTAGAAATATGTTTAAATAATTATTTTTTAAATTAAGTCCTAAAACTGCTATTTTTGCGCAATTGTAATATTTCGTGAAATTCGTATTAAATTCTATGAAAATCCGACGAAATGAAGGATTTTATTTCCAATTATAATAGCGAAACAATTGTGGCGGGTTTAATATTTTGAAAACAACAGGTCGAAATCATCAATTTATTGGTCAAGGATGTTAATTAATTGATCCAATGACGATAAAATGATGGCAATCGATCTTACCACTACACGGTGTTTAAAGATATTTACCCGCTGGTAAAGACAAGAAATGTCCTTGAATGCGCAAATTTATACGCTCGCACGTGAAAATTTCAAAAGAATTGCCAAAAATTATTATCTCAATAATAATTACATTAACCTAAAAATAGCAAGAGAGATATTTAAATGAGGTTCCCCCTCCAATTACTAATTGCATTTTTTAAAAATCGAATATGGGGTTAAAAATCTTATTTAGTTTAAAAGTGATTATTATTTAACCGAATTCTATTTAATTACTTTTGTATTTTTTTTATACTTGAGAGAAGCAAACGATTATAAAAATGTTATTTAATAATAAATCGCATTATGCATTTTTGCAGGATTATTTAATTGTAATTAATTAATTGGTGCCTTTGTATTTTATTCGTGGTTTAATTATCTACGAAAAAGGTATTTACTTCAACTAAAACATTGAATATTTATTAGTTATTTAATTAAAAATTATTTCAAATTTAATTTAAAAAAATCGTAATTTTTAATTTCGTTTTTCACAAATCGAGGTTCTAAAAAAGCAAAATTCAATCAATAATTAAGAATTTGAAAAACTAATTCTGAGATTTTCTCGACTGGTTAAATTGCAAATACATCAAGAGGTAAGTAACCAGGACACTTGCGATCTAAATTAACGTTTAAAACAATTTAATATTAATTTAATTATGTTTAATAATTCTAATTAAATGTTAAATTTTATAACAAAATATTTAATTATACTCACACTAGAAAGAGTCCCTTTGGTAACGACAAAGAAGTCTAAACACGTGAATCCAATTGTGGGACCGTTGAGTCTTTCCAAAAATATATTCAACTAAATTCAATTATTAGATTTTTAACTATGATCATTACACGAAAAATCCATTTCAAGTAAGTAATTAAACTATTTTTACCTCCAGTCTCGCTGTACTCGGTAAGGATAAGATGGAAAAGTTATGCAGAATTTCCTTCGGTCTGAGTGCCTGCAAGAAATTAGGGTTATTCATTTTACGGAAAATTAAAAAAAAACTCTAAAAAATTCAACTGACTGCCGATGAAACGGAACCGGATGCCAGCGTAACTGAGAGTATGGATAATACAAGAGTTACGCAAATTCCAGCGTGCGTACCCGCCGAACTGTAGTTCTTCTGAATGGCCAGGTATAACTGATGCAAAATGATGCACAAAGACGGGAGAGAGATGAGGTACACCAGAAAGATATACTTGCAATGGAATTTATCGACCGCTTCGACGATTTTGCATATTTTATGATGTTTAGCGTGTACTTTTTTGATGTGTACGGATCCTTCGGGTTTTTCCGACATGGAACGAAGTTCTTCGACGACTTCGTTAAATTTCAGTTTCAGTAATTTGCACGTTAAGTAAAAATACAAGAAAGTGTTCAGGTAAACGAGGAACACTAACAGGGCGAACACACTGATAACCAGCAAATTCAATCTGTCGACGAAAGTAATTTTCGGCCATAGTTTCAAATATGTTTCGAAGACCGAATTCAAGTATACGGAAAGTTCAAAACAGATAAACGAAGGCAACCAAAAATACAGGAGCCATTTTTGGGTATGTATAATATTCTCCCCTATGTTACTGTAGTACATCGATTGGTTGGCGTCCTTCCATAACTGGCAAAATTTAGCAGTTACGGCATCTCTACTTCCCGAATAATTGAATAGGGACGTTAAGAGGGATGCAAAGAATACAATGACCGTAATCATTAAAAGAATAGTCAAATATTCCTCGTGGAATATCTCTCTGATGACGACGATAATTAAGAAATCGTCACCCACGGAATAGAAGTATGCAACTAGCCACAAAGTCAAGAGATAGGAAAACCAAGCCCATAGGGCGAAGACCAAACCGATATCCCTCCAGGAACCGGAAAGGGTAGGGGTTCCGCAAGAGGAGGTGGGAACCACGCCGGAGAGGCCAAAACAACGAAGAAATTTGAAAATCGGTTTCAGATAGCAATTGATGCAGCGGTTACATTCGACCGCCAGAAAGACCTTTTCTGCGGCCATGCCACCCATAGAACGTTGCAGTTGCCTTTGTTTGTAATGGTGTATCATACCATTAAAATAACTATTCCGTTGCTTAACAATCGCCTATTTCCTAACATAGCCTATAGAAATCATAAAAAGAAAAACCTGGCTTTGCATAAATGCCTCCCAATTTCGAAGATCCCGTGACTAAATTTTCTTTACGTCCTACAAATTATCCACGCCCTTATTAATTCTATTAACTACGATTATCGATTTCTTAATGATCTAATCGCTCGATCGTTTCGCATTTATCGATTACCATTTGAATATTTTTTTCGCATTTCATGCGAAATTATCACTAATTTAATGATAGTGTAGATGTAATTAAAAAAACAATTTAGCTTAATTATATTCAAAATAATAATATGGATTGTTTCCGTTTCACGACTTCAGATGGCGCTAGCAGTATTTTTATTATAATTAACCCCTAATCAATTATGTTAAATGAGTTTGGGTTTTATCATTTTATAATTATTTTATTCTCGTAAAAACGTTTACCCGAATTTAATACATTTTTAAAGGAAGGAATTCGATTTATTTATCGCAATTATTAGCATTTTTAGGGAGGAGAAAGCCATTTGATTGGAAGATTACAAGAATGGCGGGTCTTTGCTCAAAATCTCGATGGGTATAAAATCCTTCCATCGTAAACTGAATTTGTGGATGGACGAATTTAAAATGTTCCCACGCAGTTGGGCCCTATATGCCCAATTGTATAAGCGTAACAAGTTTACGCCTTGGTAAATAGGCACGGCACACGTTTAAATGTGAAGTACGCTATTTTATCATTATCTAAGACTTACTTTTTTCAACAAATGACGATAAATTTATTGTATATATACTGTAAATTAGTCTAATTAGCTTATAAATTAAATTATACAAAGCGCGTTATCATTATTTACTGTAAATATACAGAGATATACTCCGCTTTACGATAAACCGTTGCAAATCGAACTCTAAATTCTCCTAAGCTCATTGTCATAAATCAAGATTACGTACCCGGAATTGGCAGTTTTAATTATAAAATATCGCGCGGCGACGAGAGCAAAAAATACAGCATCTCGTGCAATTATAATAAAAAATCTAGGCCAGGTAAAAGCGGGCTTTGTAAAGAGAGAGGTGGTAAAGTGCAGTCTATAGTTAGAGAAATTGAAAGTCGTTACAACAGACAACTTTCGCTATATGTTAATCAGCTCCAACAAGCGAGTTTTATAATAATTCTTCGCTGGCAAATTGCGCGTTGTAATGTTATTTTGTTTCAAAATAATACGAAAAGAAATATTTTCCCTAAATACGAATTTAATTTTTCATAGCTGTGTTCGTAGGACGTAACTAACTCGAATGTAAGCAATATCAGAATGAAATACAGTATATACGAGTACAGCGGTGGAACAAAAGTATCGGGACGAAGGCAATAGTACTGTATACATTTAACAGTAAAAAACCCGTATCCCGATGAACTTTTCACATAATAATTACGTGTTATTCATCGCGTAATAACGCTAAATAAAAATATTATTTACATACTTTTAGCTTTTGAAAACTTAGAAAAGTATTTGCATATAGGCTAATGTATATAATTTGAACGGACAAAAGTATTTGAGCAAATTAGCTCCGTTTATGTCTTTTTATGCTCGATATGGTAAATGTTTGAAATCCTGTTTCTTTTATTCTTATCGGCCATGAAAATTATTGTTATTTCAATCTACTCGCTGTTATTACCAAAATGAATAGCGCAGGCACCGAAACAACAGCAGAAAAAAAAAAATTATATTCGCAGAATGTTAACAAATCATATTCAGAAATCGAGAAAATAGTTTAAAAGAATAGATTTACTGTAAGAAATGTAATTGAGCATTTTAAATCGACTCGTAGCTTGGAAAATAAACCAAGATTTGGTCACCCCGGGAGTTGAGCCCCAGAGACGAGCGGAAGTCGAGGAGATGCCTTCCACCGAAGTTGCAATAATGCTAAAGAACGATTTGGAAAGGTGGTTCCTCCAAAAACGATCCGCGGAATCTTTTATCGCGCTGGTTCGGAACAGGAGTAGCCAGAAGAAAACCGTATATAAGTAAAATTAATGGAAAGAGAAGGCTCGCCTTTGCACACGATGGCGTAAACAAAAGTAATTCACTTTGATCTAAAGTATTGTTTCGGTTGAAAGTAAATTAACTCTGATTCGTAGTAATGCAAAAAATTCAGTTTGAGGAAAGCCTAGAACAGAGTTACAAGAAAAAAAAAATGTACAATATGGGGAATCGTAGCGTGATAGAACGGAGTTGCACGTCGACTGCTGATGTGGGAAAATTTTTATCCATACGGTACAATGGACAAAATAATGTATTTAAATATTTTCAAGGAAAATATTCGGCAAACTATAGATAAACTAAATTTGCACGGTGACTTTTACTTTCAGTAGGACATCGACCCTAAACATTCGGCTCGTATTGTCCGCCTATGGCAGGGGTAAGCAGTTTGTCAAGTGAGAAGAGCCAAATTGTCATGAAAACAGGATAACAAAAGTACCAGAGAGTCGCATATTAATTTAAATGTGCGAAATATGACACACGATAAAGGCGCCTCTAGTGGCCGTTTTCGGCATAACGTTACACGGATGGACGGACACGCGTTCGCGTTCAATGGGTTATATATATAGATATGCTTCAAATGCTACCACTCTTATGCGACTCATATTGATCAACGCGAGTGTGGTCATGTGCGGAAGGAGAACAAGTCGAAGTTTGTTCGGCGTCTCTAACTCATAAGTTATAAGGCTGCGGTGAAAAGAGGTGAGATGAAATTGGAGTTTATTTCCCAAGAGCCGCAAACGTCTATGCAAAGAGCCGCATGCGGCTCGCGAGCCGTTAATTCCGACCCCTGGCCTATGGCTACTTTGTCGTAAGCCTGGCACTCCGATGCAGACCCGCAACTCTGGATTTGAATCCTATCGAACATTTACGGAGCGAACTCGACAATATAGCGAGAAAGCACGAGATATTGCGCACGGATCATTTGAAAAGATTTATTCTCGAAGAATGGGAAAAATTTTCCATGGAAATCGTGCAAAATTAATGCATTCGATGCCATGGAGACTAAGAGTTGTCATTAAAACCCAGGGATAACTACAAAATATTAATCGTAATATCTATTAATATTATTTTCAACCGAGCCAATACTTTTGTCCATGACTGATACATTACTGTAAACGCTCGCGTACGTCTTAGAGCAGTGATTTTCAAACTTTTTCGATCCACCGCCCCCTTTGTTCCATAAAGTTATACCCAACGCCCCCAACCCATTTTCTCTGGTGCGAGGAGGGATTGGAAATATTCTTAGGAAAAGTTTTCTACGAATCTCACAGTCTGTGCCCTTACCGTACATTGTTCTCGACATCTGGAAACCATTAAACGCGATGTTTCCTCTTATCACTTTAACAGAAGAAAGGGAACGGCTTTCGGTAACACCAATTTTGCCTTTGGTCACCGTTCGATACCCCGCCTCCAGCGCCCCCTAGATTTACTCATCGCCCACTTTGAGAAACGCTGTCTTAGAGTTTTATATTATTTAATACTAATGACCGTTTAAATGACTTTAACGCTTCGTTTAGTTACCTTTTTATGCAAGAATGTAACGCGCCTTACGGGAACATCGACTGCCGACTCGGGCACATTCTTCTGCGATCTTCGTCCTTTACTCCGAAACGAGAACGGACACAAATCCTCGGACACGAATGCCGAAATCGAAGACTAATTCGAATATTAGCGCGTATTACGAAATATCGCGCGATTTGTTTAATTTCGTAACAAAAAATGTAGTAATTCGAGGCCAGTACCGCGTGTAAAACCAAAGAAAGGCCTATAATTATTTCGAAGGGCTACGTAACTATATAGTATCATTTGGTTAAGTTGGGCGTTATATCTGGCACGTAGTTACGTACAGTATTAAGTTATACGAATATAACCATCCGGAACTATCGTGGCGGTTAAGTTATGGCAACGCGACACTTAGGCCATCCGCCTAGGAGGGACGCCTTCCGGGAAACTGGCCCCTATTTAAGCGTTAGGCGAAGAAAAACCGGAATACTCCAGGTAGGCCACCCCGTCCGAGCCGGGCGCCAACTCCCGGAGTTCGGAGTACGAAGACCGCTGGGCCACCGACGGTCGGAACTGTACTAAACATTAAGTACGGTTTCAGACTGTTGGGTTTTTAAGGATTATTCTAAATAAAACAACCGAATGATTATAAAATAATCAATACGTCGTCATAAAATTAAAATTCTATTATAATAATTAGAATGTTTCTATCGAAGCAAAATTGAACGAGACAACGCAATCTTAGCGTAACCCGTAGCATTCTATTTTTAGTATTATTTTCATGGCGTTTATCTACGTAGGGGAAAGCGGGGTAAGACGGGGAGGTCTGTTTATTGGCGGTTAACGCGCTTTGGTCTAGCCGTTATTCGGGAAACGAAACGTCGATCTGGAAAGGTACAACGGGACGAGACAACGTCCGAATCGCTCTCTCCGTTCGGAAGCGAGACGTTTCGCCAATACTCGGTCTAATTTTACGCCCGCTACAAAGTTTGTACGAAGTAAGCGTCGTCGCCAACTTTTACATTACCATTTAGACGAAGACATTGCGGTATTCCAAGTAGCCTTTAAGGCCGCAATGGTTTAGTTTCGAAATAAAGTCGACCCGCGTTGGCCAGACGGCGGCCGCCCATACGAATTCCGCCGCCGGCTACGGGCTTTGTTTTATTGGCGAAAACATTTTTTTAATTTAAATACCGTCTGAACGAGAAATAAAACGCCAGACGACCATCGACATAAACTTTTTTCCCACCAAAAAAGAATATCGTCAGCTAAGAAAATAGCGAAACCGAGGGCGCGCCGAGCGACGGTATCGTCTGGCAAAGTAAACGCCAGTAAGTCGAAACTTTTGTATTTACAGTATTTATTAATTTTTCTCCCAGCTTCCACGCGTTTCGCCATTAATATTCGTCGTCCTTTCGCTTCGATACATTTGTCGTTCGTAAATAGGTCTTGTAGTTAATGTATTGTGTTTTAACCGCGGAATGCCTCTATGGCGGAGGGTTATACTTTGCGTCTACGGAGAGTTGGGCTAAATGCCATATATTGAAGAAAAGACGCTTTAACCGTTTTAATTTCTCCTTGCCGTATATAAGAATAATATCCCCGTCTTATCCCGCGGGTGGGGCGAGACGGCGCCTTTACGCGTAATTTTAAAATATTAAATTTTCTTAAAAACGTTTTTCAAAAATGAAATATTGTATTATATATTATCGAACGTCGTAGTTGCCGAGAATAAAAAAACGATCGTTGTCGAGTGGTTGTCGTCTTACGGCTTTTCCAACCTTAACGTTCTCGTCTCGCCCGCTTTCCCCCGATTGTTATTCGACGTAAAACGGTGAAGAAGGGGCAATGATTTAGAGGAAAAAATTTTTCCAGAATTTCCAATTTAACGCTCGAAAAATTGGAACGAAATTATTAGAAAAGTAAAATGGAATCTCGAGGAAGAAAACTATGCGAAGAATACGAAAAAGCTGTAAAAAGAAATACAATTTGTATGTAAAAAAGGTTTACCGAGTGAAGACGTTTACATTTACGTAGAGTTTTCGTTGACGAAAGACGAACGATTAAAAGGAGGAATGTCTTTCTGGGATTGGCATTCTTCTAATTCTATTTTATCCATGACGAAGAAGAAAGGAACGACGTTACGGGACAATTTATTGGCCCTAAGCCGTCGATGGAAATTCTCCTTCGGTAAATTTAAACGAAGAATGTTATAAATCGTTCTTCCGATTTACGTAAAAATGCAACGGTTGCGTAAAATGTAATACTGTACTACCGAATTCCCGCTCGGAAAAGTGTTCGCTTCTACAAATAAAGCGATTAATAAATTTTTCCATAGTAACTTACGTTAGCGGGCTAACTCGAAATAATTAATTAACCAGCCTTAATGTTTTTATGTTTAAACAAATTTTAACTCGATAACCAATTAACTGTCGTCTGTTGAGAAATGTTCTATTAAATATGTTTAGGTGTAGTTAGATATGTAAAATAACGGACGGAGAACGGTTTGACCATCGACAGGTGCCACGTTTCTTTAAAAGTTGTTATTTACCCGAAACCAGATGCGGTAAGAAATTATCGGGAAGATAACGATAGATAATTTCCAGCGCGGAAATGCGCCATAATTATCGTTATTAACAAAATTCGTAACTTAATCTTAGCCTCTGCCGTTTGTAAACTGCCAGATAACTTTATATTGTTATTCTGTACGTAATTATTGGAGATAAAAGAAATGGAGTAAAGCTACCGTTTCTTTGTATGTTTAGATTATTATATTTGTGCATCGGTCAACTGGCGGGCAGGTGGATGTTTATCCGAAGCGAGATAAAGACGGAGCGTACCGGTACAACTTAGTATTAAGTTCAGACTCGTGGGAATATCGGAAGCTGTCGGTCCGCGGTAAAGAAAATAATCCCGATATCGGGATCCAATACGGGATAACTATTCGTCGTCCGAGCTACGAAGTTGAATCGCGGCTCCCGTGCACCTGTCCGGTTCTTCCAAAGCTGTTAAACTGTTATTTGAGCCCTATTTGCGCTTAAGTCTATTGTCCTCTAACCAGTCATTCTACGGTATAGGGCGCAGCCAGAGTATTCTTCTCTACGTACTGTACACGCGAAAAGATCGTAGAATACTCTTCGTAGCTTAATATTTTTTAGTCTTTTTATAGGGTATTCTATCCTTCCTGTATTATTCTTCGAACATTACGTGGCGTAGAATGCTGTACTCGATATAATATTCTATAATACGTATCGATCGAGAATAAGAGAGTATAATTGATCATTTTACACACAAGCCTGTTGTGTTATATACCGATTAAACGGCGGAGCTAGAGGTTTACGCTTATTTATATTTTATAAATGCGGATATAGGTGTATAATCCCGTAAAATCTCGGCAGTTAATTAAGTTGGAATCCTAAAGAAGCTAAGTTATTTAAAAATACGACTCGAAATTAAAATTAATAAGTAGATTACGGATCGATAAATCCTTACCGAAATAATCTACGCAAAAATAAACTCCGCTATCGAAATCTCCAACGATTTTATGTAAATTCTGCTTTTAAAAAGAACGATTTCGTTACTAACAATGGTAAAAATACATTTTAAAAAAGACAGACGGGAGGGGGAAAATGCAGAGTGGGATCCAATTTTCCAGACGGTTGTATCTTCGGATAGAAAGGGAGTTGCTCGTACGAAGATTGGAAGTTGTTTCTTGCCGTTTGCACCTGACTCGTTCCCACACCAGCATTTCGTGGATCGATCAAACAATGTCCTTTTGGCCAGACCCAACCCCAACAACATCGGCGAATATGGAAATAATGGAAGAACACTTCATTACATTGTTACATATGGCCGCGGCTACTCGCCTATGAATAATAAAATAAAGTAAAATAAAAAAACGAGAGAGACAAATTTAACGGCGCTTCTCGATAGAGTTAATGTACTATTTAAGAATGATGTGTTTATACTGGGTTTGCCACGGCGGAACACGCCGCAAATCTTTCATTTTGCCGAAAAAATACGCACAAAAATAATTAATTGATAAATGATCATGGCTTAAAGGTTAGCGTAAAACTTAAGGAAACGAAAAGCGAATATAAAATTTATTAGCGGGCGCTATTTTTTTTGACTTTAAATGTTTTGCCACGTCATCGTCGGTACACGTGTTCGACTGTATACTTCATAAGCGTTAAACTAGTGGAACGGTCGACATGCTTCTTGGTTACCGGGACACGCGAAGGGAACAATGTTGTGCGTGATTTTGTCAACTGGACTGCACCGTACACAATCGAACGACGGGTGCACACTCCCTTAATGACACTATCAACTTGTTATTGTGGTGTATTTTAATATCCCCGCGTACAGCTGTCTTTTTATAAAATGCGTACTCCGACGCCATTTTGTTCAATCCCGAGTGTCGTCGCGAGTCAAGATGGCCGACGTCGGTTTCTAGCTTATCAATTATTCTGTAAATCTATTTTCAAACTTATATTTTCGTCAAAATTCCGCGACGAAGCCCGGACGCGTCGCTTTGCTTTTAGACGATTGCACGAGGAGATCGTTCAGTAAAATCTTAAAGATAATTAGGATTAAATGTATTGATAATTCGCACTATAAAAATAAAAATGTGCGCCTGGTAATTTCATAGACCCATAAGCTTATAAGGAAGTATTTCGAAGTGTTTGAGTAGCGCTTTTCCTCGTTAAGATTTTCCACCAATTAAAACTGGAAAGAAACGATGGAGAATGCACTGCGCTTAGTTGATTCGAGCCGAGTTAATAGAGAAGAAGACACTGAAACAGATAAATAATAAATTTTATTTCTCTCACGCTACTTACAGAATACAGCGAAGGACTAGACGATAAAATTTGATGGCACGATGTTTGACTAGGTCTTTGTTTTTATTTATTTATATATAGCCTATTTATACCCGGGTCCGATAGCCTATAGTGGATCTGGACTAGAAAGGTCTCCTCCTTTCCTGGGATCTTCGGGAGTCCAAACTTTGGCAACCATCACGTTACCGTTCTGTAGCTGCTGTTTTTCGTTAGACCACGATAAGGAATGGCCGGCTAGTGACAAAAAACCGTTCGGCCCACCTAAAAAAACAAAATTCGTTTAATACGGTGACTGAAAATCGTTCTCTAGTGTGAAAATAAGGCTAAACTATCGTTAGAATTCTGTGCCGGAGTACCGATTTTAATTTCCAGTGTCGAGTCTGGCGCGGTTGTTTAAAGACGAAACGTTTCTATACCAAGTCCGTAATTTTCGTAAACGTTCGAGATTAGATCCGTACCAAAGCCTAATTAATAAACAGGCTTTCGAGAAGTAGGCCTAGGTTATTTTCTATATAACGAGACGTGTTTAGCGGCTCCTAAATTGATAATTTAGTCAATTCGGTACTTATAAATGCTACACTTTGTTAAATTTGAAGACAAATAAATAAAGTTTGAGAAAGGAAGAAAGTATGATAAAGCTTGGATTTTTAAATTAGTCCCAGTAATTAGGCTATTATTTTATACGCGAGAACCGAAGACCAATTATCACATTTAATTAGGGCCTTTTATATTACGTTTAAGGCCCGCGTCTAAAGGTTCTTCGCCCGACGTACAAAGTAAAGGCTAGTCGCGGATAAACCTTTCTCGATGGCTTTCTTACGGCGTTTTTTACATAAAAGACTAAATTTCGGGGTCCCTCCGTGTCCGGGATTGGTAGAGAAAGGGCCTGTCTGCCTATTCGAGTCTAGTTAAACTTTGAGAACTAATTGCCTTACATAAGATAGGACTTTGTCGTTGGAATGGAAAGGAAATTTCAAATTATTAACTAATCACTTAAAGAAAAATAATGAAATAATCGTTTTTATAGAAAAATATGCAAAATTTAGATAGTTTATAGCCGATAATCGCAGTATCTAAGTTTAAATTAGTATCTATTATTAACGGATGTAATTAAAACTGTAATTATAAATTGGGAGAATCGTCTTAATTCGCGTTAACTAAAAAATCAAAATGCGAGAGAAACATTGGTTACGAAGGATAATCCAACACTTCTACGTTTAACACGCGTTATCATTTAAGTAGGCCTTTATAAAAACAATAAAGTTTAATCCATTTTAACTCCAAACTTTCCACAGAAATGAATAGAAATGCTCTCGATGACGATAAAAAATAACGTTACCGAATTAATTTACGTCTCGGACATCGTTTAGAGCAGTTTATACAATAATATTAATAAAAGTAGTCGATAGCTAGGACTAATAATTTTAAAAGATTTTCGCAAGAATTTAATAGGGAAAAAGAACACAGGGATTCGTCTTTATCCTCGGTCGATTTCACACCTCGGCAACAGTCTTATTATACAGACCTACACATTTACTATTTTAGCCACGGCCAAGGAATTTTTCTTTAATATTTCACGTATTGAGGCGGATAACAGCCTACCATAAAAGGTCGACTCGGCAGTAAGTTTGTTCCCGAGGTGTGAAAAGGACGAAGAATTCTGTTAACTTGTCATAAAACTTTTTAAAGATTCTTGTAAATTAAAATAAATGGAAATAAGGTTATTTTTTAATGATTTAAATGCAGAAATTTTTATCAATATTTGAAGGTGCTCGACACGTTTTAAAAGTATTTTTCGCCTCTTCAAACCTTTAAACGTCGTTTAATCGAAAGATAAAGAAGTTTCCTACGTCAAATTATCTTTGATAGATTCGTATAAAGCATATACTTAAATTTTCTTTAAAAAATTAATTACTTTCTATAATAATCGAGATCATTTTCGGTTACTTTTAATTACGTTTCTTCTGGTTAATAGAGTTTTCTCGCGATAAAAACTAAATTTTCCAAGATTAAAGGACGAAGTAAACGTTAGAATTGCGACTTAAATGTTTGCGCCCGAAACTAAAGCTGGATTAATCGTTGCTTAATCCATTATCTCGTATCGCTCCTCGACCAGATCTATCAATGTTTTTTTAGTTATTTTGTAACTGTTAACAGATAAATATGAGGATATTCGCCAGATAAACGTTGCCCGATACATGCGTGTCTGCGCCTGAAATTATTCCACTTTTGATTTAAATTTCTTTATCTTCGTATAATTGACAGGTGGAAAAATAAAGATAGGCCTATCGGAAAGAGTAGCGTAAAACAAGTCCGTTTCACTTATAATCAGACCCGTGGCCTAAGGCCGGTTAAATAATAATAAATCGAAAAGAGCCAGGCTCTAAACTATGGCTTTGTTTAACTATTGTGTAAATATAGTCCGGATTATAATAAGAAAACCTACCGCGGGATTAGAAAATTCTTAGCGCGTTAAATTCAATCTTAAATGATAAAAACTCCTCGAGGTATTATTTATTATTAAATAATTAAAATGATAAGATCAGAAGTTAATTTTAATGAAATTTACTTCTTGTTTTCGTTTAGGAGATAACTAAATTAAGATTATTAAACGTATTTAGCTGGATTAGCGGCGTAACTTAAGAAAGAAATGGGAGAAATGTTAAAAGCAGCTATTAGAAAGGGTTAATATTAATTATAATGCGGAGAGGAAATGAGTAGAAATGGCGTACCTCTATGACATTGGATGATGACTTTTTTAGGTTGGTCGGATGCCTGATTCTGCAAGGAATCGGCGGGATGTCTTCCCGAATTCACTAACTCACTCAAAAAACTTATATATCCGATGGCCAGTTTTAAAGTATCGACTTTAGATAGTCTCTTTTCGTAAGGTAAAGTCGGTATGTGAGCGCGTAGTCCTTCGAAGGCATCGTTAATAGATTGCATCCTCCTTCTTTCCCTTAAATTAGCGGCCAATCTTTGCTGCACCTGTTGTTGCATACATCTCTTTTTCCTACGCTTCTGACGTAGATTTTCTTGATCCTGATGTCTGCTATAAGGCGAACCTATACTAGATTGTCCTTGGAATGTGTCGAAGTGAAGATGTTGCTGGAGGAACTGCCGATTAACGTTGGCCAGGTCGATGTTTTCCATAATGTGTCGCAATGTGGTTGGCCTCCCCAGGGAACCAACACCTCTGTCGATGGAAAGCACCCACGACTGTCGTCCGCGTGTGTATGGCGCGTGCCTTACGGGATGCACCAATAAACGGCACGTGCCGTACCACCCTTCTACCAATCGGAAGCCACTTTACGTATTTGACAAGTGGAACTGTTATCGGCACCGCGACCCGGAATGATTGAGCTCTACTTAATTGCCCTATTGCTTAACTAACAGTTTATATACTCGCTTCTCTGTATTTTTTAAGTATCTCGCATCTCGCTCTGGAGAAAAACGGCAAAATGTTTACTATATTATGTCTATGATATGCCGACCAACTACGAGTTTGGGTGGAGTCTTACCGTTTATTTATCCAGCTTAAATCGCTATAAGAGGTGTTAAATTCTTTTAAAAAATGCAATCGTTTAGTGTTGGATGTGTATGTTTGCGTATAGGATGCTACGGTAAAGCTTTTTTTTAATCACGACGAGAGGAAATTCGCTATAGTCCAGATGGTAAGAATTTCCGGATCGGAAATGCCTTCGGGATGAGACAAAAAAAATGGTAAAAATCTATAATTAACGTGTTTTACGCGAAGGAAATTATTAAATTTGGCTTTCGACCGTAACAAACTCGACGTCGGAGTAACCTTAGATAGATTTTAGGCTAGATCTTTAGTGTTAATTTAAAAACACATTGAAATGATTTTATCATTCGTGTAAATTAACTAAAACACTAACGATTTGGTAAAATTAAATTGTTATATATTACTGTAAAGAAGAGCTACGAGTTAACTGTCATTTAGAGTAAATTAAGTTACTTTGAAGGAGAGACAACAACTAAGATTTGCATCCCGGTTTAACGGTTAGAACAAACGTTACCTAATACTGTAACAAAGTAAGCTAGGACCGAATTATAGTTGCAGGACCAAATGCTGTAAAGAGCATTTAGTCCCGAATTTGGTCGTAACATTTTAAGTAGGATTTAGCTCTTATCTTACATAAAGCATTTGTGTCCTACCAGTTCCAGAGAGACAATACGTCCTCGAAGGATTTGGGTTCAATCCTCGCCTGCGGCATAAATGTGTGCTACAGATGAGAATCCTGAATCTACGCTTGTTTCTTCGGATAGAAATGTACACCACGAGTAGTCTTCTATTTGTTTGATTTTTATGATTCTGAACATTTAATCGCCGTAGAACCTCATAAATTTAATTTTTATAGAGGATTAATTTGATCTTAACTCATATTTGCAGCCTATCTGACACGAATTAATTTCCCTTAACTCGGAGCTCCATTAACCAAGATTGGAACAATCGACGGCATTCCATTCAATCGCAGTTATAAATTTTACAGCCAAAATCCTTAACAGATTTCACGCTTATTTTCTTTCTTTCCATACTTAGTGAAAGTGCAGAGATCCGTAAAATGCACGCATTTAACAGAATTTCAAATTCAGTTTTAGGCAAGATTTAGGACATCAGACAACAAAAAGGCGGATGTTGTATTAATTTGAACACGTGTTGACTAACCGCAGCGTAACAATCACCAGTTACAGATCGTTGATTTTCGGCTGTGATTTCCGGCTCTTTTGTTTTTTCCCTCTCATCGATTGACAAGTGTTGATTGAGGACCCAACTCATTGGGGATGTATGGAGACGGCTCATTGAGCGCAGAACAAAAAAACCGACCGAATGAATGTTCAACAGCATTTAGACTACGCTTTACTGAGCAAACTGATAAAATATATATAAATACATATACACCTATTAATTAATTAGGGATTAAACATCGAGAAGAAATTGTTATTATTTTTTTAATGAGAAAAGCATTTAAGTATGTTTAAAACTAATGTTAATGTAAATAAATAATTTAGAATTTATACAAATTTCAGCTCTCGACTGCGAGGACTTTAAACATTTTAATTATAAAAAACACAAGTAACGTTGACAAAGCGTATATGCGATAACTGAGAAAATTAGGCCTAGAAACCATAGATATATTCAATAAAAATTGTAAGAAATCGACTTCTTTAGTGTTTATAATAGGTAATAAAGACTAAAGTTACGACCTAAATCCATTCTACAGTTTGAAATGATATAATTAGCTTGGAAAATCATTGTAGTTTTCGTGAAACTCTGATTTATTACGCGTTTAATTTTGATTTTTGGTCTACTTTACTTTTATAAAATGAAAAAATAATTATAAATCTTAAATTTATGTATAAAGTTCGCCTAATTAAACAATAAAATACAAATATATACGTATTGAAATTCGAGAATCGGGCTGAAAATGTCCACATTTTAACTATTATAAAATAAACAATGGGTTTGATTTACGAACAAAGAAAAATGTGACTTTAAATTCAATAAACGAAAATATTCAGCTGCCACACTCGTGTCAATCTGTCAGTTTCCAGCGTATTGTTTCACACTCGCGCTATTCATTCAAATGCTCTAATGTTTACACTAAGGTCACTTCACTCTTTACGTTACGCGATCCCAGCACGTGCGTCGATGGGGGCCACAAAGACAGACACTGCACGTGTGTGGCCACCTAGCCATTGTCTGAACCGCCCATACGATATTCACTCGAATCCAATGAGAAACTAATCACCACCATTGATAACCAGAGAGGGCTAATCAGAGCGCGAGACGGTTCTCTCTAAGCGGGCTATTTATTCCAGATTAGGCAAATTAATTAAAATCTAAATCAATCCAGCGTCTAAACCCATAGATTTATATAAATAAAATTTAAAGATTTAGTAACCAATCCGCGTAGGACACGAAGAAAAGCAATTTTCGAACTGCCGCCGGCCTTTTGTGTTTGGCCACTGTTTCTCCGTTACGCTCTCCCGTATCAGTAACCCATGCACTAATCCTTATTGTGCGGTACGGCAGGCATGCAAAAGGCAAACTGGAATAGAGACATTACTCGGGCAGACAGCGGTAACATAATCTGCTAACCCGAAAAGATTAAAATGACCACCTGTACAGACACTACTCTAAAACCGTGTTTGTCTACGCCATTTATAACTCGCTCGGCGAGTTGTCCTACAACGTTTTTATTATGTTTCCTCTTGTAAGATTACGCTCTTCGACGTAAAATTTGCATAAAAATCATTTTAAAGCTATGAAAATTCACGAAAGATGCAAGAAATCGGTCTTTAAACAATCCAAGAGTCCACTAAACAGGATTCATTCCGAACAAATGTGTAAATAGTCTAGTCGATCATTTAAATTTACATCTAATTCCGTCACGCTTTTTCATATAATTAATTATATACTTTAAAGTTCTGTAGGTTTATTGTAACTTCAGATTGGGATAGAAGCTAATACAACATTTCGTCGAGATAAGGAAAACAAATAAAATAAATACACTATAAATAAGAATTATACGTAGGTCTAATAATAAAATAACAATTTAAGATTTTATACAGCCAGGCCCTACGCTCTATCTTATTTAATACCCAGGACTGCAAATTTTGTTTTAACGCAGTTAACCAACGTTTCACTTGGTTGATGAAAATCTGGTAGGACCGATCTACTTTTATGTTCTTAAATTAAAACTTTTAAGCATTTATGTAAATTAGAAGAGCTATCTTAATACTCGGGCGTTTTTTCTTTAGAAACCGAGCGTAATAACGCGAATAATAGTTTTAGTTTAAAAAGATAAGGATATAAATTTAGATATTCGACCGGCCACTTTTATGGATTGGCATTAGAAGCGGTCGGTTTCGGACGTTTAAAGAGCGACGGGCGATTCCTTAAGATTAAGCCAGCCGGCAACCGAGTAATTAAAAAGTTGCTTTACTCCAATGGCGATTCATTAACGGCAACGTAAGCTAATTTAGACATTATTAAAACTTCTCCAGTGATAATATTCAATTCGAAACGTATTCATTTGATCGATCCTCCTACCTCGTTTTCGGTTTAATCGCACCTGGCTCGTTTCTCACACCGTGCAAAGATAAATCGATCCGACGTTTCTCTTTTTTCTTTTCAACTTTTACGAAATTCTATATTGACCAATTATTCGTTTCGTGTCCGTCTATTGTCTTTTCTCCCATGCCAAATTCAATTCGCAATCCACGCTAATAATAAAGCCGTGTTTTATTAGCCATTTTAAGTCTCCGTTGTTTTACACGGGGGTAGACGAGTTTACGATTATCCTACTTTATCCTACCCGCTCCTATACTTATTGACAAACGGAGATAAAAATACTAACTATTCTCTAGCTAAAAGTGTGTTTTCTACGGTTTAAAACATGGAATATTAAAAATATATCGTAACTAGATCCGTAAATAAAATGTATTCGTAGTTTATCTCGCATCGTTGTCTATAAAGCTATAGAATTTTTGTGTATATTATTCTAACAAAGAAATTATTAAATCCCCAAAGCGGAGAAATACGAGTTGTAATGACAATTAAAAGCCTGGATATATTACGTTTATACGCTACGTTAATTAATAAATTAATATTATTTAGTAAGGAAAGATTGTACGCCATTATTAATATAGTTTCATTAGTGTATTTATTATTCTAATTAACCTAAGTTTAAAATCTTTATATCGTTATTAAGAGGGATTTTATAACGAAATAAAGAATTAAAATAACGAAGATATTTGATAATTAGGATTTTGACGAGATATTTGTTTGTCGGAACAAAAGAATCGAGCTCGAATAACTGATGATAATATCGAAGTACCGACCGTTTTATTCCGTTCGATAATCTAAATTGCGTAGCCTCTGGCCTAAAATATTAAAATCTTTTATCTCGGCATTTAAGATTAAACCTCGTTTGACACTTTTCTTTTAATTAATAAATTTATAAATCGGCCAGAGCTTCTATAAACTTACGAATTTTGTATTTGGATTAGACCTACGTACGTATAAATCTATCCGAATCTTGGCGTAATTGCACCTACTATCTGCCTAAAAAATACTGGCAAATTTATATCCGTAACTCTAATATATATCATCCAAAGTATCGATAAGATTTATATAGGCTATAGAATATTTAAGCTACGGATGATCTCAGACAGTAGATTAATTTATAAAACTGCAAATTTATAGATTACATTATAATATTTATAACTTATGCGGATAAAGATGTTATAAGTTCGGCGTATAAATTAATTGATTAACGTATGTCCGTTCATATACGCGCCGTAAGTACGGTCATCCAGACAGGTCGGTACGAATCGTCGAAACATTTACCTATCGA